CTTTGCCCTTCTGCTCCTGTCACCCTTGGGAGATCTGGTCCAGATGTCCCTCTGCCTCTTTACCTTGTTCAAAGACACTGATCACACTTGGCTCCCGAGCACCCCATCTCCACCCCTGGATTCACCAGAGCTGCCGCATTCAGGCAGCACCCTGGATGATGGGTCGTTGCCCCTCACCTCTGGCACTGTTGCTTCCATGAGGTGACAAGCTGCTTCCTGTTCTGTCCCCTTCTATCTTCTAGCCCTGATCTTTTCACTTGCAGTTAGACTGAGAGAGCTGGGCCTGGCATAGAGAAGCCCTCGGACACTGGCCCAAATGATGACATCTGCACAGTAGGTATTTACTGAGGACCTACTGTGTGCCTGGGAAGAGAAAGGGGAGTAGGACACAGCCTCTGTCCTCATAAGCCTTATCTTTGAGAGCAGGGATTGAAAATGCAAATGCCTGTGATGCTGTTGAGTAAAAAGTGCCCAGGCTGTGCTGTAGCGGGTGTGGTAGGGGTTGGGGTCAGCAGGGGGTTGGTGTACTGAGGCAGCTGGGCTTCCAAAGTGCCGTGGTCAGCATAAAACTGAGCTACACTCAGATCCAGCCACTTACTGTTTGGGGCATATGGACTAGTTCTACTGAATGTCAAGGAAAGCATGGAATTTAAATTTCTGTTTCTAGAATCTTTGGGCTTTTTCAAATGGTGGCAAGAAACTACAAAGTAATTGCAGTGCTGGACGTGTGGAACAAGAATGGGTATTGCTGGCTCCAATACAGGGGTTCCATTGGTGACCTCTGGTCTAGGCTATCAGAAAGTTGCTCATGGCTTTGGCCCCTGGAGCAGAGGCCCCCAGGGCTCGTGGTTACAGAAGGATATAGGGATCAGCTGTTTCCCAAACCCCTGGACTAGTGCATGGCAAAGATAGAATAAAAGAGACGGTGTGATATGGTTTGCGGGGTCCAGGAAGGTCAGCGGTCTCTTGGAGCTAAGATAAAGACTTCTCTGGACTGTGGGTATTTATTTCATCCTTAATTCAGGGGAGGCAGGAAATGGAGGGCACATCTGAGGCAAAAACCTGTGAAAATGAGCAAGGACTTGAGTAGTAGAATAAGGACACTCCAAGCAGCAAAGCTTGCTAATGAAGAGATCTGTCTCATCTCTAAGGTTGGCAGTTACTGCCTTGGAATAGGAGTGAGAGCAAAATGTCCTCAGCTGCAGTCTTATCTTGCCTTCAGAGGCTGTGAATATGAGTTTTCCCAACACAGCCAGAGAACACTGTGTCAGCAACTTCACCTTTATGCAGCTGGTCCCCCACATAGGGACCACAGAAGGGATGAGGTCAGGTGCAAATGCCAGAAGTGACCCATACTTTACTTTCCTTGGTATAGGCTCAGGAAACCAGGAGTCCACATATTTCTTTCCCAATAGGAAAGTTCTCTTTGGGTGTGGCTCTCTTCCTCCTGGTGGAGGACTCTGCAGGCCGCATTTTCATTGATAGCGTGGACATCTGCAGCACTGGCCTGGAGGACCTACGGTCCAAGCTCTTGGTCATCCCTCAAGATTTGGTCCTGTTCTTGGGAACCATTAGGCAAGGGCTAGGCCAGAGGCCAGCATGGTGTGGAGAACAGCATTCTGGGGAGAGTCACAGGACTGGGACCCCAGGATTGGGCAGCTTCAGCTAAGTGGGTGGCCAGTGATTCAATTTCTGGACCTCCGATCTTTCTGCGGCATGTTAGACCTCTCAGGGGTTCTGAGGGCTCTATATACATCAGTGGATTGGCCCATCAATGGTCCAGCAATGGTCCATCAATGGGGTCCTACTAGCTAAATGTGCTAGTAGGAGGTTGGGCATTGTGTCACTGGGGGCATGCCTTTGGGGAGTCTATCTCTCTGCCTAGTTCTTCCTTCCATCTCTGCTTCCTTGCTGCCACGGGGTGAGCAGCTGTTCCTGCCATGCCCTTCTACCATGCTGTTTCTGCCCTGCACCAGTGGACCATAGACCACAATCCCCCAAACCATGAGCCAAATTGAACCTGTCCTCCTTTAAATTGCGGGTGTTGGGTATTTTGTCCCAGCGAGGGAAAAGTGACTAATACGTCACACACTGTGGGCAGTAGAAGAGTGAGGAAGACCTAGGCAGGCCATCCCATGATCAGACAGAACCTGTCAATTCATCATCTTTGCACACTATTTCCTTGAGTGTCAACTCAGGGACTAACTCTCTAAATTAGTGCTGCTGCTTGACAAGGCACCTCAGCTTTGAAGGAAGAAAAAAAACACGGAGACTGGGGAAGATGGATACATTAGAAACAGCAGATGCTTGGGGATATACCTCAGTGGTGCAAGCGCCTGCTTGGCAAATGCAAGGTCCTAAGCTTGATTCCTAGTAACCCCCGCCAAAAAAGAAAAGAAACAGCGGATGCCTATGATCCCATGATGCTTAAGGCATTCTTAGAGCCAAGAGGAACCCGAAGTTCAAACACTCATCCCATCCATTTAACTTGCATTTTTTCCCCAAACTTCTGCCAGGTGCAGACACTGTGGTAGGCACTGAGGGCCCTTTGATGGATGTGCACGTCCTCTGCTCCCCCAGGAGCTCACAGCGTGCTTGGCGAAGATGGTTTTGAACAGGCGTAAGACTTAACATCGGGGAGATGAGGGCTGTGGTGGTGGGGAGGGAGTAAAGGGCTCAGAATTAGCAAGATATTTTACACATAGGCACCAACTCTCCAAAACAAACATAACCACTATGTAGTGCCAACACACACTAACTTAAAAAAGCAAGGGGCAAAAGAAAGAACCAACACAGTACGATGTAAGGGGATAATTGCTAAATCAGAGATATGAGAAAGATGCTAAGAGAACAAGAGAGGATGAATAATTCATCCTGGGTGGATCCAGGAAGGCTTCCTGGAGGAAGGATATTTGACAAGGTCTTGAAACATAAGTGGGAGCTTCCCTGGAAGAAATGGGGAGAAAGTTTTTCCAGGGAAAATGAGCAACGCATGCACATACAGAGGGGAAAGATGAACATTTAGTGAAAAATTTTTGTGTCAGGTAGAACTCAGCCAACTCAATTGTGCCTTAGTATAATGAATAGTAAAAATATAAATTAACTTTTATTGAGCAATTATATTTGCACAATATTAAAGTATTCTACGGATTTTAACTGTCAGAAGAACTCTCGCAAGTTGTTTTATTTTGCCTCCCGTACAGATGACGAAACAGAACTTGGAGAGGAAGGTATCTTTTTTAAGGATATATAAGTAAAAGGAAGGGGTTCAGGCAGCCTAAACTCATCACCTGTGGTAACCCCTGCTTGTGAACTGGAATCCGAGAGATGCAGGGTTTCTACCTTTAAGGTTCCATCTAACCTGATTTCCATACTGAGTTCTGTTGTTACTTTGAACAAACCACTTAACACTGGTAAGCCTCCTCTGGGAAAGGGGAAGGGCTGTCGCATGCCTGTCTGTGAAGTACCTTTGGAGAATACCAAGTGTCATGCAAGTAAAACATCACACCTCCTGCTTCTTCGAGATAGGTGAGCTGTGCGCATGCAGTGTGTGTGGCCACTGGACCTGAGGAAAGCCGAGCAAATGTTAGCAGGCTGTGGCCAGGCCTGTGGCTGCATACTAGAGAAATGTCATAATGTCACCCATGCTAAACCTAATGCCACATGGATCCCAACTTGAGGAGCAGCTAGGGTTCTTTTCAGTGCTAGAGACCGAAAAGCCAACCTCAGGCTAATGAGCTACACTTGCGTGGATGGCTATAACAGAAAATAAAGGAAAATGCTAAGTGTTGGTGAGGATGTGGAGAATCTGGAATCCTCACTTGCTACCACAAGAATGTAAAATGATGTGATTGCTGTTGAAAACAGTGCGGGCGTTCCTTATGAATTTACACAGAGAATTCCCACATAGCCTTGCAATTCCACTTCCAGTCATATACTTCAGAGTTGAAAATAGAAGCTTGATCAGATTTTTTTAAGACAGGGTCTCACTACATAGTGCAGGCTGGCCTTGAACTCACATATGTAGTCCAGGCTGGCCTCATACTTACAGCAGTCCTCTTGCCTCAGCCTCCCCAGTGCTGGGATTACAGGCATGTGCTACCATGCCTGACTTGACCAAATATTTGTGCACTAGTGTTTGGAGCATGATAATCAGAAGATAGGAACAGTTCAAGTGCCCAGCACAGAGAAGTAGATAAATAAAATGTGGCCTATACATACAGTGTAACACTATACAGCTATAAAAAAGGAGTGGACTTTTGATATATGGGCCTAGAAAACACTGCTAAGTGAAATAAACCAGACACAGAAGGACAAATATTATATGATTCCACTTCTGTGAGGAACCATATGTGGATTAGGCAAGTTCAAATAGAAAGTAGAATAGGGCTGACTAGAAACTGAATGGGTGAAGTGAGAGGTGGATTGTCTGATGGACACAGTTTTTGTTAAGGATGAGGAAAATGTATTGGATATATCTATATCTATATCTATTCTTGTATTTATATATATATTCTTATATTTTATATAT